ATTAAAATACTTGCCTAGGACCAATAAAACCAGAAAAAACATAGATATTCCTAACAAGACTAAATCTGCTATCAAAGTAAGATTTTAAAGCACCATTTTGGCTTCCCCAAAGAATTACTGAAGAAAAAAATAAATCCATATATATCAACATACACTTGTAAATCTGAATATAGTTTCAGAGAAAAGCTGTAATTTAATCAGAAGAAATCAGATAGGATTGGTTGTTTCTCAATAGGAAACAAGCTTATCTAGAATTTTAAGTGCTATTATACAGTCACAATTAATTATTATTTTTAATTCTACCAGGCAGATGAGAAACAAACCTCTGTAAACAATCCAGACAATAATATTGCCTATTGCATAAATACATAAGAACACATATAGAATACTTAGTACTCTATTGGGTTTTCTACACAAGAGAGTTTAGTGGGGAGGGGCTAGCATATCCCCAAGGCCACTTAACAACTTAAGTGTTTCTCCTAAAAAGGTTTGTTAGTGGATAGAAATTTCAGCTCAATGTATTGAGAACAGGTTGCCTGGCATCAGTATTTACAAATAACAATAAAATCAAAGCTCATTAATAACATACCATGGAGTATAAAAACTATCTACTAAACTAAGCAAGCATGTGAAGTTAAACAGACTTCACCAAGCACTGTTTGGCAAACACAGGAAAGATGTTGCTTAACTGAAGTTCTTAAAAGCGACCTGCTCAGCAGGCAAAAAGCCAGCCATGACTGCAAGAAGATATCTCCAAAACACAGTTAGATGTGATACTCAAGAATGGCTTTGACAAAACAAACAACATCAAAACCAAAGCCACCACACATACTTTTCCATTAATTATGAGGTCCAACCATAATTCCAGCTGGCACTGCCCTATGAATTCAAGTCTTTCCAGAGCACCTCCAGTTTCCCAAGAATCTGCCTGGTGAGTAATACTTGGCTGTTGAAGGCTTTTCCATTAGAACTACCAAACATAATTAAGGAGCAAAACAAAGAAAATAAAGCTAACCAAGTACATAATTCAAATAACCTAGCAAAGTATACAGTAGTCCCTAGATTACCCAACCAAAAAAAGCAACTCGGGATGACTGACCCCTGCTCTACACACAACATGCAGCTCTGAAGAGTGGTGCAGACTGCAGAGAATCTCAACTGAGAAATGTATCAAGAATAGGAACCAGTAGGGTTTCCACGGTCAGGAAAGCTTCAAAGTACAAGCTGCAGCATCAAGGTACTCACTTAAGTGGATGCATCATATCTTCTCCTCTTCTTCTACCATTGCGACTTCTACTCTGGCCACCCATGAAATTGAACAATCCACCACCAAAGATATGGGAGAAAATATCGTCCATTCCACTGCTTCCACTCCCTTCTCGGAGCCCCTGCTCTCCATATCGATCATACAGCTCACGTTTCTCAGGATTTGACAATACTTCATAGGCAAAGCTTATTTCTTTGAACTAGAAGAGGAATAGAGTCAAAACAGTGCATGGTAATTTAGAACTTCAAGACAGATTTTTATGAGTTTCTCTCCCCGCATGAACACCTATCAACTAAGAATGTACACAATGAAACACTTTTCCACCCTCATTTTAACATAACTTATTCTTAGCAAGACTTTCAAGTCAGACTTGGGCTCAGTTTTGTTAAATCTTATCATAAAATAGGACATTTTACTGCAAAACTTGGTTGGCTTTTTTCTTTATTAGCTTAAGACAGACTTCCTACAAATAAAAAAAAATCCAACTGAAGAAAACCCCCAAGTACAATGCAATACTGCAGAAGCCAAAAGGCAGAATACCCAAAAGTTACATACTAAGTTACGTACTAACTAAGCAAAACCTTCAAGATGTTGGGCTCTTAAAATACACTAACAAGTAAGTAGCTTACTGAAATGTACATTAGTGTATTTGGCAAATTAGTATCTTTTCACAGTAATTTCTGTTCACCTCTAAGCAGCCATCATAACTTCAATTTGGTTAAAGATAATCAGCGGAGTCAACATAATTGACAATTTTAGAATTGCTTTTAGCATAACAAATCAAATTCAACCTTCCCACATATGTAATTCATTTTATGCTGCAGCAGTTTTTAGAATCTCTACACATATGTTTTTCCATGTTGGAAAAACTTGAAAAACCGACAGTCTTTCTCATATTCCTACATAGATGTCAATGCCAGCTGACATTATCTCTGCAAATGAGAAGCAGCTTTTTTCCTCAGCATTACCTTCTCAACCAATTTTGAGCCAACTGCTGCATTTTGTCATGAGGTACATGGCAGATTTTGAGACTGGGGAGAAGTTGACCAGACAATGCTCCCTCTCACAGCATTGTTTAACAACCTAAACAGCAAGCCCCCAGCACCTGTATTCAGTTCCTTAGCTACTATTGTAATAGCAAACCTGAGGTATTTAAAAAAAAAAGATGAGTCTTTCTTACTTTGTCCCCTGCATTTGGATTCTTATCAGGATGGTATTCCTTAGCAAGTTTTCTGTATGCCTAGTTGAAAGAAATAGAAAATTAGTTAAAATTTCCATTGATCAGTTCTTTTCTGAGAAACTCAAGTAGCATCCCCAGGAAGAAAGAAAATCCTAATAAAGCAAAGTGAAATTATAGTGTTTATAGGGTTATATAGTTATATAGTGTATATAACACTATATTAGTGTTATAGAGTAGTAACTCATACATTGATACAACCTAAAAAACTTTTGCCATCGCTACATGCATACATTAACTAGACTTGCATTTAAACACAGCTATGGCATACAATAGCTAGAACTAGTTTTCCTGCTTATCCTCATTAACTTAGAGGGAGAATCCCATTTGACTTTCATTAACATGACTTACTTTTTAGAAACCACTCAAACCCTACACCACAGGAGTAAATTTGAACCCATTTGTCTTTGCCCTCAATCACAGCAGTACAGTAACAACAAAATGGCTGCCTCAGCTTCCCATTCAACCCTACAACCACTCCTCACAACAACCATTTCCTTCTTCCCTACCTAGCACCAATGGAAGAGTTCACCTGAGCTGAGTATATGAGTTACATGTGCAGAAACGTACATAGCACTGCTTTTATTTAACTCCATTATTATAAATCAGTAGGAGGAGTAAGTACAGCTGAATCCCCAGAAGGGACTTTCCAGACTGCTTTTTTCTGACCAGCCCTTTGACACTAGGGACCATCACTGGTTTTTCAGCAACCCTTCATCTGTTCTGCTTAGACTTGAGAGGATCAAAGCAAACAACACAGCAGGCAAAGACTTTTCCTATCACTGGAGCTAATCACAGTAGAACCTTCAACCTTCTTCTATTCCACCTCAACACCCCACAGAAACACTCAGGGAAAAGATATTAACAAATTACATTGTATACCGTCTTCTATTTTTCAAATTACACCTGTTAAAAAAACTACAGTGATGCAAAAAACTGAAGTATCAATTCTTGGAGAGGATTTTTCACACACTTCATTACTGAATAACGGAGTGCCTAAACTAACTCTTTAGAACTATAATGTTAAGAGCTTTACAGACAAAGCTTTACAGAAATCACAACTTCTGAACAATTTCCTTTTTCTTCTATCCAAACACTTATTTCTCATTACAGATTTTATCTTGAAACACTTTGTACTTTTGCATGTAATCAAGACATGATAAAGAGCTAATGAAATAAAAACAATGTTGATATTACAAGTCTAATATTCTAAAGCACAGTAAGTGTAAAAATCAAAACTCATACATCTTACTGGACAAATCACCCATCAGGAACAAAGCATAATGTTCCATGAACCTGTGTATTCTGTTATAATGGATGTTCCCCATATATTTTAAGTATTACAACCAAGAAAAAAACAAAACACCACTAAACTGATAACCTAAGTAACATTATCTAATCAGGAAAAAAAGGAGCTTGCAATGGTGATCGTTAAAATGAGAAAGCCCTCACATCTTTGCTGATAACATCATTCCAGGCCAGAGCAACTTTTACAACTACCCGTGGCCCTAAAGGAAACTACCACTATTTATTTAATCAGAACCAAATCCAGAATCAATGTCTACACTGGGAATACATAGGACTTCAGTAAAAGTTAATTTAGCCACTGTAAAAGCCTGTTCTTCCGGCCCCTTCAGACTAAGATTCATTTCACTTTTTCTATAGTTCTATATATGTTAAAATACTAGATTTTAAAGCATCCATGAAACCTTTCAATGACATTAAGATATACATTAACTCCTTGGTGTTGCAGACAGTTGGAAACCTTACATTCCGCAATTAGTCTAATATGTGGTAATTAATACCGATTAATATCCTAGCAGAAAACTGCTCTGGGTTTCATTCTTACAGGACACAGATAGCTTTAAGTGAGCCCTGTAAGAAAATAAAATATTCTGGTGAACTGTGCTGTATACAAAACACAACCTTCTCACCGCCTGCCTTCCATCTCTAGCACAGTTTCAACACTGCAATTGCCTATCCCTGCACAAATTAGGCTGCCGTGTGCATGACGGGTAAGGCGCAGTTGTTGGTGCCAGCACCACCCACCCGCGGAAGCCTCTGCTAGTGAACCGTCTGGTTCATTCTCCTCCCTCACGTGTAAACGGTCATTAAGGCCTTCCACAAAAAAAAAAAAATAAAAAAGAAAAAAAAAAGGAAACAAAAAAGGAAAAAAAGGAAAAAAAAATAAAAAAGAAAAAGAACCAAACCCTACGGTGCTTTATACACTACAGGATGGAATTGCTATAGCGACGACCTGGCTCCAAGTTTTCACCTCCCCTCTTTGTTTACCTCGCCTTGCCGCTTTCGGCCTGGGAGGAATCGCATCTATGAGCGAAACCGATTCCTCCCCAAGGCCTGCACGTGGGGCAGACAATGGCACCGGTGAGGATCGACCCGCAGGGATTCTCAACCCCAAAAAGCCCTTGCGGCCGCGCACGGCGCGGTGCCGCGGAGGCGGGACGAGCTGCGTCCCGCCCGCGNGGGAAAAGCATCCTCAGCTGTCCCGTCTCTTACTGCGCAGCGTCACCAGGCTTTAAGGCGACCTCTGAGATCGTCCAGCGACACCTATGGCTGAACACTTCCATGTCAACCAGACCGTGGTACTGAGTGCCCTGTCCAATGTCCAGCTTTTCTTTAAACAACCCCAGGGATGGTGACTCCACTACCTCCTTGGGCGGCCCTTTCCAATATCTAAGCACTCTTTCTGTGAAAAAATTCTTACCTTATGTCCAACCTGACCATCCCACGGTGCACTTTAAGACTGTTGTCTCATCCTGTCATTTACTGCCTGCTAGAAGAGCCTGAGCCCGACGTGGCTGCACTCTCCTTTCAGCGAGTTGTAGGAGTGCTAAGTTCAGCCCTGAGCCTTCTTTACTCCGGGCTGAGCCCCCTCAACTGCTCCTCATCAGACCCGTACCCCAGATTCTTCCCCAGCTCCGTTGCCCCTTCTCTGGATTCACTTTGGCACCTTAATGTCCTTCCAGAACTGAGGGGTCCAGAACTGGACACAGCACTCGAGGCATGGCCCCACCAGTGCCCAGTACACTGGGACAATCACTGCCCTGGTCCTGCTGGCTGTCCTGTTCCTGATACAGACCAGGAGGGGCCATTGGCATTCTTGGCCACCTGGGCACACCTGGCTCATGTTCAACCTTTGTTGACCAGCACCTCCAGGTCCTTTTGCACCAGACACTATCCAGCCACTCTGCTCCAGCCTGAAGTGCTCCAGGTGGCAAAAGGGCAGGACTGGCAATTGGTCTTGTTGAACCTGAAATGCCAACATTGTTGGTCTTGGCGTGAAATTTTGAACCAGAAATGCCACTGTCTGTGCACACATGTCCCCCAAACCCCCAGCTCCTGCCTCCATCAACCGTGTCACTGAGGTTCATGGGGCACCTGGACACCAAACTGCTGCCTACCCGCAGGCAACAGGGTGCTCCTTCAGGGAGATATTGCTAAGTGGCTATAAAGAGCACTGGCACCTCTCTGCTCTGGTTTTGTGCTTTGCTCCAGTGCACCAGTTGCTGTGTGAGGCCCAGAGTGACTCACAAAGCACACCTGCCCAAGGTCTCAGCTGGGCACCACTCTTTGCAGGCAAATAAAAAGCTGGGTTGTGTTTGATTAGATGTTTGTCTCCTAAAGCTGGGCTAGGAGAGCAACTACTGAGCCCTTCCTTAGCTATAGTCTCTTGGTCCTTACCCCCTTGATAGGCAGGGGCTGCTGGAAGGCTCTAAAAGCTGTGACAGGCATGTGGCTAAGGGTGATGGCAGGGAGTCTGTGTAAGGGCAAATACCAAAAACTGGCTTCTTGGCTTTTCTCTGGATAAGCCTAGGTTGTACCTCAGAGAGAATGCTCCCTGAGGAAGAGGTGAGCAAGGCTGAGGCCTGAGGGGAGGCTGATGGGAACAGATTACTGGCCTGACATGTGAGAGAGAACAGAAAAGGTTTTCTGTTTATTCCCCTTTCAAAAGATTGTTGTGCTTGTGGCACAGAAATTTGAATAGATCCCTTGCCTAAGGGGAGCAGACCTGAGTACCTGAAGGCTTACCTGAAGTACCTCCCTCTTTGTCTATAGGGGTACCCTTCATCTTGACACAGCCTGTGATTGCAGTGGCTGGATTGAGAAGTACTGTCTGCTGGTGCTTTTTCTGCTGCTTATTGGGCGAGTGTTTTTGGGGCCCTAAATTCCATCAACGTGTTTATTAGGCCTATAATGATCCGGTTCAGTGCATGATGGCGGTAATACCTATCTCTGAGGTTGCAGGTGTGGCATCAGTCAAGAGCTTCAAAAGAAAATGGAGACTAGTTTTGGAGGGAGAAAAAGATTGGCATGGCAGAGGATGGCTGCTGGAAAGAAAAGAGTCCTTGTGGATTGTAATGATTAGTCTGGTTCTGAGATGCACAGAAAGAAAGAAAAGCCCTTGTAAGGAGAGGTATTTTTCTTTGGTGTTTTTGGAGGCTGCCTGTACAGCCTTAGGGAGTTTCATGGTTTAAGTTATGTAACTAAACCCAGTAAGGCTTCATGATTTATCTGTGTGTATTTCTTTACTTGGCTTCATCTTTTTATTTTGGTAAGGCTAAATTCATCTACTCTAAGAACTGTCTGCCATGCACACCTGGCTTGACTATTTTAGATTATACTTTCTGACAGATTGGTATGTTTCTAGAGAAGATTTTTTTGTCATACAGGTTTTTCTTTTTGGTGGGCAGTCAGGTATGAAGAAAAGTTACAAGTGTGTGGAGAAATGCTTCTTTGCTGTATAGCTCAGATTTGTATTTTTAGGTGTTAAACAGAACCAGCAGGACTGATATAAGCTGTATTTAACATACAAGGAATGTTTAGCATACCACAGCATTTATGTTTTCTTTGCATTAAAAAAATTAAATCTAAAGTTCTAAGAAGATGACTTTGTTCAAACCAGTGGGGTGCCATTCTTATCTATGCCTATAGGGAGGAAGTTCACTGAACGTATGATTCAGCCTAGACTTACCTGTCCTGGGAGCTGAGTGGCTTCTGAAGACATTTGGCATCTTGAGGCCGTGTTGGCAGCCAGACCATGAGCCAGGACTGTGGAGGCGAGAGGTGAGCTCAGGGTATCAGCTGCAGCACAAGTCAAAGAGGCAGTTTAGAAGAAGTGTTTGCTACTTCCTTCTTCCCTGCCAAAACAGCCTTGTTACTGCAGGCCTGGTTTATATCGTGCACAATCAAACTAGGTAATAGATAATAAGAAAACTCCTCTGGGATGAAACTTTACATTTTATTTTTTAAGTGGAGCTAAAGAATCATAAGCTGGGATGACTAGCTTTTTATTAAATTCAAATGCAGATGAAGAACAAGGTGGTATTTCTTCTTCCTGCACACTGCTTTTACCATAGACTTGTGAGCTGTACTGGCAGAACACATTAGATGCACAGCTGGCCATATCTCACATTTAAATTTCTTCCAACATATCTTCAAATGGAGGCTTTCCTTGGAAAGTCCAAAGTTTCCAAAAATGTGTTCTCCTCTGCTTCTTTTGGTATCACTTGCACATTCTTTGTTTTCTTTGAATGTCTTTTTCATTTCTAAAATGACTTTATTCTTCTTTCAGATAAAAGGTTTTCATTTAGTTATAATGATATTATTATCACACAATATGATAAAAAGCAGTTGCTATATGAAGGTTTGTTTTTTCCTAAATAGATGCACAATCCTCAGCTCTTTGAGGTATTGTCTTAGCCTTACATAGGCTAAATCCCAACAGTCCCCAAAAAGGGACTATTCAAATTCAGTTATTTTTTCAGGCATTTTTTTTTTCATTCTTTATATAAAACAAATTTGATGTCTTTCTTAAAATGGAGCATTTTATGTTGCTTTCTTAGAAATAAAATAATATTGATCATGTTTATCACTGGAAAATTGGAAAGACATCAATTTCATGTTACTCTAAATTAAATAACCCCTGTTCAGGCTTATTTATGAAGTTATTTTAGGTGTTAAATGTGGTCTGAACATGAAAATATGACCTGGCTCCACTAACTCCTGCTTTATTACTGAACAGTTGAATTTAAACTAAGAAAAGGTGGTCTGTTTAAATACTGTTAAAGAATGCAGTTACGCTGAAAAAAAAAATAAATTTCTGAGCCTATATGGCCACTGCTTGTTTTTGGTATCAGCTTTCATCAGATAAGGCAGTTAGTGTATCATGCACATTGTCTGATTTCTAGAACTTTTCAGCAACAGAAAGCAAACCAGCAAAGAAAGGACATGAAATTTGCAGAGAATTTAGGACTCTGAAGAGTCTGAGGAAGGGGGCAGCTCTAAAAGGCACAACAACCAGTGCCAGCCAGTCGTTCCCTCTGGAAGAGCATCCTGAGCTCTGACTATGGGAGAGGCTGAAGCTTTTATTACGGTCAGAACAACAGGTCTGGTTTATTGTCCTGCCCGGGTGTGGTGATGAAACCCAGGGCTGCCTGACAGGTATCTCTGTGCAGCACCAGGAATGAGCTGCACACCTCGTTCCTTTTGCCATTTCCTGGAGCTGGTTTTTGCTGTCATTACACCTCTGTTTTTCCAGTGCCGGCTCCTCCCAAATAAACAATCCACCCCTAATGACTTGTTCCCCATTGGCCCCAGTTTTGCTACATCTGCACTCAGATTTGGGTTACTGAGATAATCCCAGCCTTATACGGTATTACAGTTACCCTGGGGCTGGTGGCCTTGTGTGACTTCAGTCCCTGCAAGGTCCCTGGCAGTCCCTTCCAATTCTCTCTGCCAGTTTCTCCTCTAATTGCACCTGTAGGATCCAGCCACCTTCACAGCACGACCTGTGACTTTCGTCACCCCCTCATAGTGCTATTTGTAATTCCTAGTGATATTTTTTTAATGTCATGTCAGTAGTTTCAAACATTTTGTTCGGTTAACTGAATCTCATGCCAAAACTGACTCCCTGGTCTGTCGTTTGCCTGCAACCCCAATTGAAATAGCTGAGAGAAAATCAGAAGTTACTTACTTTTTATCTGAGTGCTGGGCATGTTTTCCTCACAAACTTAAAACAGACATCAGTGAGGAGGGGAACACTGGCAGGTAGTGCTGAACAAGCTAAAAAGCCTTCCACTGATCTGTAAGGGGGAGCAGGGAGGGAGAGAGCTTAAGGGATTTTCCTTCTGAGTTAGCAAGAAGAATTTAGGAATTCTGCTTTTTAAATGTGAGGTTTTATCAAGGCACTTGGGCTTTACTAGATTTTTTTTCCATCTGAAGGGCATGTGGAAAATCCTTTTTTTTCTTGTAATTAGAGTGTTTTGAATTTGGATTTAGGTTTTGGAATTTTTGGGTGTAGAGTTAGAAATCACACATTGAGAGCAACATGGATTGGGGGGAAAGAAGTTTAATTTCTTCCTCACTGAGAGACATTTTGTGATGAACAGTGCTAGGTGTTACATATATACCTTTTAAAAGATTGTGAGTGATCAGAAAAATATGCCAATTAAATTTATTAACCTTATGTTTTTGAAATGAACTCTTGGTCACAAACCTCCCTCTGTGAGCACGAGCAAGATAAATTGAAAGTTTCAGTACAGCTTGATGTATATGGTGTCTGAGCTGAAGTTATGAAGTGCTA